AGAAAACTCAGTAAGTGTTAAATCAAGTCTGTAAGCTAGACGTTTCCGGATTTCTTACAAAATCCTTGTTTGATGAAATGAATGTGCAGGTTCTCTATCGTGGGGAAAATGCATCGTCTGATTAATCTTTCCAGGACGGTGTTTTTCTTAAAAGGTTTAGCTAATTTGCTGAAAACACTTTCGTAATAAGCAAACTTTGCTGTCTTTTTCACTCATTAAATATCAACAAAGCAAAATGCATTCAGTATCACAGAAAACTGTCAGCATAATCTTTGCTTTCAACCGACCGCTTTTACTTAGACTGGATCCTTTCTAATTTTGGTTCACCATTATTTTGACTGAACTTTGTTCTCTGGATCATACCGGTCATGCTAAATTTTATTTCCAGTTACTGTTCACTTGAGAAAGTTTTCAGGACTTTTCTCTTATTCGCTTAACATTTCCATGGATAGCTCTACTCTTGACTGTTGCTGTTCTAGGCGTAACAGGTTTTGTACCCAACAAGTAGAAAATTTGCTCAACTTCAATTTTGCAGATAAACGTGTGCTAATTAGACCAACTGACGCATCATCGGTGTGAGTTATTTTTTTTCTGGCGTTAAACATGAGCCGCTCTCAATTAGAGATCTCAAACAGCATCGATTTTCCCTCACAAACTGATGTTGGACTGCTGATCTGTTTGGCATCTTCAACTTAGTTTTGTCCGTCTTTGAAACCAGTTATCGATTTGTAAATTCTTGATTTCGTCATGGGATTATCTCTATAAACTATTCTCAAAGCACCATAATTCAAGTCTTGCCATGAATTTGATGCGAATTCTTGCTTCAATTTTTGACACGCTTCCTGCTGGCCGAAAGAATGTTGTTTTTGCAACGGCATAAACCAAAATCTGATTCCTTGAAACACTTTCGATTGATACGGGTTATAACGCGTTCAAGTTCAACTTTAACAAATATTTAACAGATATTTACATAGTTTGTTTTTATTACAGGATTTCTCATTTTCTCAGTTTCGATTGCTCCGCTGATATATATAAATCCAGTAAATTTAAAAATAAGTTACTCCAAAATTCGCTTGAGGATGAAATGGAACTAATGTCTTTAATTTTATTACAAAATTAAATTCTAAGATTTTAGCTTCCATCTTTGAAACTTGGTTAGAACTGTGTAGCGAAAAAACATATTTTAACTCAGTTAATTTATAATATTAATGCTCTGTAAATTTAAATTGAGCACTAGTTTGTAAAAAAAAAAAAATATCTATAAGAACACCGGATTATATATCTTTGTTGTTCTTTATATATATATATATATATATATATATATATATATATATATATATATATATGGAGATATTTTTATGTTTATACATTCTTTTTATAGATAAAAATATTTAAGTAAATGCTCTGTTTTATAATGAACAGTATTAATAACATTTACCGGTCTGACTGTCCAAGAAATTTTCATAGAAAATATTCGTCTCTGGGGAGAGAGTGTGGGTTTGTAAACATTGACTATTACGGCTAATAATGCAAGACTCTTCGATAAATCAAATCGTGTTCTCTTGGTCACCGTGTGTTTATCTAAAAAATAAACATGCTTAAATTCACCTCCATCCCTGCCGTACGCCAATGGCTTAGTGGTAGAATCCACGACTGATGGCACGTCAGTCGGGTTTCATTTCCTAGACGTCTATCCACACTGATGAGCTGTGATACAGCGAAACAGTCTCTCTGTGGATGACTATATATATGTAAAGGTGATAATGTTACTGACACGCAATACTCATAAATGACTATATATATAGTCTTTAATGAGTATTGTGTCAGTAACATTATATATATATAGTCTTTTGTGAGTACTGTGTGTCATTAATACATAAAACTTTCAGTCGGGGCGGCCAGTGACATTTAAGTATTTTTTTAAATATATTTTATGTTTTTTTCGTTTTTGTATTTATTTTTTATACCTGACATTGAGCAATGTATTGATAATTTTTATTTGTTTGTTTGTTTGTTTGTTTGTTTGTTAAGCGGCATATCAACACCTTATGGGTCATTTAACGCGAAAATTGAATTTTCTTGGGAGGATTAGTAATTTCTTCTACAAAAATGTATTGCTTGTACTATCTTTTTTTCACAAAATAGTATTTCTGGTACTATTTTTTCTTACAAAAATGTATTGCTGGTAATTTTATTTATTGATGGTAATTTTTTTACTATGAAAATGTATTGCTGGTTTCTTTAATCTACAAATGTATTTTTATACTTTCATTGATTTACTTCAAGTTTGGGAGTTCACTATTTGCCCATACCTGGGACCCTAACAGGTGCTACCACTCCGGATCAGGGTGGACCTGGAAACAGCAACAATGAAGTGGTGGTTGCACGCTCTTCAAAACCTCCAATCACCCGACCAAAGAGCTTGCTACCGGATGTAGTTTATTGTCAAACCCAGGACATATTGTATCGTTAGTGTTTACATATATATATATATATATATATATATATAGAGAGAGAGAGAGAGGGGGGGAGAGAGAGAGAGGGGTTGGACAAAATAATTGGAACAGTTGCAAAATCCACTCCTTTATTTTAAAGACCTATTATATTAAGAACTTTAACTAAAACTTGGTAATTGCAGGTTATATCTATTGTAAATACGTTTATTTATCTAATTTATTGTCTTTGTCTTGTTTATTTTTAGAATTTAGTAAAATTTAAGCTAAATGCGTGACCTCTCCGAGTTCAAAAAAGAGAAAATTGTTGGAGCTCGCATGGTAGGAGCCTCGATCACTAAGGTTGCTGAACTGTTTGGTTTTTCTAGAGCTACTATATCAAGAACACTGATGCAATTCGAGAAACAGAGCAAGACCTCTAGCAACCGTAGCAATTGGGGCCGGACTTGCAAACTTACTGACAGCGACTGACGTGCATTGAAACGGAATGTGGCAAAAAATCATCGGCCAAATGCGGCCAAAGTGACTACTGAGTTGAATAAGCATCTGAATAGTTCAGTTTCTACTAAAACTGTTCACCGTGAGCTCCATAAGGCTACATATTATGGAAGAGCCGCTGTGAGGAAACCTCTTCTCTCCACTCGCAACATTCAAAAGAGGTTGAAGTGGTGCAGAGATCACAATGCTTTGTCTGCAGGCCAATAGAAGCAAGTCATATTCTCAAACAAGTCCAGTCTTTCTCTTTTCCCAACTTCAGGGCGAGTTTATGTGTGGAGGCAGCCCAAAGAAGCTTACAACCCTGACTGCCTTCTTCCAACAGTGAAGCATGGAGGTGGATCAGTGATTTGGGCCGCCATATCATGGAAATGTCTCAGTCAAATAGTTGCCCTGCATGGTAGAATCAACAGCAAAGATTACCTGAACATTTTGGGAGATCATGTTCATCCAATGGCCAAGACTTTATTCCCTAATGGTGACTGCATCTTCCAAGACGATAATGCTCCAATAGATACCGCTCGAGTGGTTAAGAATTGGTATGAAGAGCATGAAAGTGAGCTAGAACACATGGAGTGGCATCCCCAATCTCAAGATATCAATATTATTGAACATTTGGAGCAACAAGTTAGAAGCCGCTATCCTCCACCGTCATGTCGTAAAGAGCTGGAGAAGGTTTTAATGGAAGAATGACTGAAAATTCCACTGGATGAAGTCAGGAAGCTGTATGATTCCATTCCTAGACGTATTAAAGCTGTCTGTGAGGCTAAAGGAGGACCAACTCCATATTAAATAAATTTTCTTTGAATTTAACAAGTGTTCCAATTATTTTGACCAACCCCTGTATGTATATAAATATATATAATGAGAAAGAACAGATGTTTTTAGAATCCACAGTTCATAGAATTTACTTTTTTAAAAAAGTTCCCAATACAACGTAAAGCAAAATATTATTAAAATAATATTATCATTATAGATTACAATGAAAATCATTTTTCATTGCTACATAAAAACTTTCATGTTTCGAAATTATAATCGTTCCTCTTCAGCTGATGGTAGATAACATATAATGAAAAGAATTTATTTGGGAAATTTGAAAACAAATCGTTACCTCTTTTGAAAGTTAAAAAGGGGAGGATGGCCTTATATCATATTTAAAAAATATACTTGTGGGTATTTCTAGATTAACCAATTAAAAGTCAGATGTAAGTTAGAGGAAGGGGGAGGTGATTTATTAATTCATGTCTTGATAAATTTACGTTTTAAACAAGTCAGAAGTGAACATATTGTAGCCAAACACACAGTTCAGAAGTAGACATATAGTTACCTTGAACAAAAAATTATTTTTAAGAATTTTAAAAATAATTTATACTACAGAAACTTCTTAAATGGACCGAATATACAAATTTAAAACATTTTTTTTATGGAACTTTAATACACGATGCTAATTATACTGAATGGGCAATAAAACAAGGCAATATTAAAGTTGAAAAAATCAAATAAAAATTGTGTGGAGCATTAAATACACACACACACACACACACACACACATATATATATATATATATATATATATATATGTATGTATATATATATATATGTGTGTGTGTGTGTGTGTGTGTGTGTGTGTGTGTATTTGCTGCATTTATATTTGCTGGAAGGGTGATCAATATCGGGGATAGGAAAATATACGTATAGATATCAACACTGATCGTCAACATGCTATATCGATTTCTATATCTACACTGGTTATATATATATATATATATATATATATATATATATATATATATATATATATATATATACATACATACACACACACAAAGAAATATCTTTGTGTGTGTACTCTGAATAAATAGATTTTCCAAATGTAATATGAATAAAACTGAAGAGATAATTTATTTAATATGTTCCTGCGTTGAGCTGAACGAAATCAGTTCTTAGAGACAAGAATGGAGCATCCCCCAATGCCGATAAATATTTAACTTATATTAAACATAATCTTATATTTAGCTGTCCATTTTGTCCGTAGACATTTCCTATTCTTGCCTTAGTATGTCACGTGGCCATTGCTTTGGAGTCTCGCTCAAATTTTTATTCGGATAAAACGTATCAGTAAAAGAAAGATCAACAGTTGAATTGAAAAAAAAAAACGAAAAAACAAAGCAAAATTGATACCCGGTTTATAAATTTTAAAATATTCCATGTCTGGAGATGAATCAAATTCTACGCTTTTTTATATTTAGAGATGGGACTAAATTACTTAATCGTATGCAATTTACAGGATTGGTTTGCATAGATTCTTCGAGTGATTAAAAGAATTTGGCAAACTGTCAATTCCAGAATCAGACTGACATCTTGGGATCTGTCGAAAGAGAATGCATTTTTATAAAACAAGTCAACTGACAACTCCAACATTTTATTTTTGCAATCAAGTCACATAGATTTTCATTGATTTTATTAACACGATTAAATGTTAAACGTTACCAGAAATGATAGCGTAATAATAGTTTTGTGTTATGAAAGTGGCTATGAGTCATAAGTTTCAACGATGAGATGAGTCACCGGCTTTCTCCTTTTTTGTGCTTCTACTGATGTGGGCTTTTCACTGAGGAAGAAAAAGGCTTGTCATGTGGTGGATCACGTGTTGCGCAAGAGAAAGGGGTGTTTCAAGGCTTTCACAAGGGTGTTGTGTCACCGGCTTTAGGATAATACCGGTTAGGAACAATTTTGAAAAAGAAAGAAAGAAAGAAAGAAAGAAAGAAAGAAAGAAAGAAAGAAAGAAAGAAAGAAATGTTCAAGGGAGAAGAAAAGTAGAAAGATAGAAAAAGGGTAAGAAAGAAAGAAAGAAAGAAAGAAAGAAAGAAAGAAAGAAAGAAAGAAAGAAAGAAAAGGATAAATGCTCAACGGAGAAGAAAAGAAGAAAGATTGAAAATACTAAGAAAGAAAGAAAGAAAGAAAACTGTTCAAGGAAGAAGAAAAGCAAAGATAGATAGAAAACGCTAAGAAAGAAAAAAAGATAAAAGAAAGAAAGAAAGAAAGAAAGAAAGAAAGAAAGAAAGAAAGAAAAGAAAGAAAATGTTTAAATATAAGAAAAGTTGAATGAAAAAGCTGAGTATTAAGAAGAAAGAAACCGTTCGACAAACATATAGAAAGAGAATAAAAAGGGTAAATATGAAGAAATAAAAAAGAAAGAAGTTCAATGATTGAATGAAAGGAAAGGAAGAAGAAAGAAGATAAAATCATAATAATAATAATACAGGAAGAGAAAATGAACAAAAGAAATCGGATATGAGTAAAGAGAAAAAAGAAGAAAAACTTCAACGATAAAAAAAAAACCGAAGAAAATAAGGAAGGAATAAATAAAAAAGAAACAGAGGGAAAATAAAATAAACATGAAATAAAAAAAAGAAAGACGTTGAAAAGAAAGAAAAAAAAACAATAATAAAAATAGAAAACAAATGGAATTCAGATTAAAAGGAAAAATTTAATAAAAACATGAAAATTACGAATTTTTTGTAATAATTGGACAGGGAGGAATTGTTTTGCAGCATTATACATTGAAAATCGCCTTTATGAATGGGAATGACGTAGCATCGGAGTAAAAGGGTTACGTAATGTGTGCAGGCTTCGTGGAAAAAAAGGAAGGAAGGAAGGAAGGAAGGAAGGAAAGAAGGAAGGAAGGAAGGAAGTCATTAATACGCTAACCGCAATGACAAACTCAGTGAAGAATATGGAAGCAAGTGAGTAAGAAAATGAATAATTGGAAACAGGAAAAAAAGAAATATGACCCTTAATATAATCAGTCACACACACTAAGAAGATATATATATATATATATATATATATATATATATATATATATATATATATATATACAACCAGACACACACATACACACACACACCTATATATATATATATATATATTAATTTACTTACAAATAAACACGGACGCACGCACACACACATATATCAGCTTCAGTGTTCCTTCTCGGTATGCAATTATAACTGATACACGAGTTTTTATGTGTCTACCGCCTACGCATATATAAATTCCATCAATAAAAACATTTCTTTACTCCGATGAAGTCCTCGTAAAGGCCAAAATGCGAAAAGAGATTTTTTTGTCAACTTTGTCATTCATTTGCCTACCATATATATATATATATATATATATATATATATATATATATATATATATATATATATAAGGTAAATGTGCGTGTGTATGGAGCGAATATATAGATAAAAAGTCCAACAACTTAGCTTTCAACTGAGTGTTTTGTAGACAGATATCCGCACGTCATCGGGCGTAAGACAAATTTGTTGATTTTACATACACACCCACAATGTGTATGTGAGTGTATATATATATATATATATATATATATATATATATATATATATATATATATATATATATAGTGAACTGTTTCCAATTTCAACTATCCAGAAATGTTACGGCTTGCTGATAAATAAGAATATTGTTTACCATACTGACAAAACATGGTTCTTGATAATGACTGAGATAGACGAAAGTACTTGAACAAAATAATAAGCATGAGCACTGGACAGTTTATTCATAACTTCAATCCTGATATACAACATGCCATTCCGAAATTTGAAAAATAAAATACTAAATTATGTAAACTGGTCATTTCAGTTGAATTTATCTTGTTTGGAAAGTTAGATTCGAAAAGTTTAATATAGACAGACAGATAGATAGATATGATCAAACTGAGATAGATAGAAAGATAGATTTTGAACAGAATGTGGTAGTATCTGTCTATATCCCTGAGATGAGTTATTATGATTACTTGTATTATTTGCCAAATTCACGTTTCGGTCGCTGTACACTCCGGCTGTACACTTCAGGTGAGTGAAATTTCAAATCAAACCTTTTATTTCGTCCACCGGGGTAGATTATTCTAGTTCCACGTGCCATTTTTTGGTTCACCACTGCTGTAGCCTGGTATTGAACTCACAACGTCTTTATCCATTGGGACAAGTGTTGATGAGGACATCTGTGTATGAATTTCTGGGACTTATAAATCTAATGTCTCACCACCATTTTTTACCAGTGCTCATATTGCAATTTTTCGGTAATTATTATTGCATATTTTTTACATGAGCTTATAATGCAATTCATTTTGTTATTCATTGCTTCTATCTAGCACTCTGTATTACTGGTTCTTATATTGTATTCATTTCTATGCTTGGCCGGCTCAGGAGATTTTTGTGGCATAACATATATGCTGATTCCTTAAGTTTTCCAGTGATGTTCTCTGTCTATTATTTCACTCTCATCCCACAGGGCTCTCATCACTTTTCCCGCTATTTATCCTCAGCTACGCCAGATTTTTCTATTTCCCCTTGTGTTACAACTTTACGATGTTCTTGCAGTCTTACCTTAAGGAGCCGGCCTGTTTTTCCTTTATATTTCATACAACAGCTGCACGGGATGGCGTACACTCAGGCCTTAGTCATAATCTCCTCTCTGGGTTGAAAAGGTGTCTGCAAAGTTTTGAACAACTTTTGAATGTTGTCCTGATGTTATATAGACCACAAATCTTTTTGTATTTTCTCCGATAATACCTTCACATAGGTAGGTAAACTGAAGCTGTTGTTATCCTCTGGTAGCCTTCTATATCAGTTTGTCAGGACTGATGTCACGTACCCATGGTAGTTGTTACATTGCAGGGTACTGCTTATACTGACAATTTCTTGTTCACATGTGTCTGGGTCGCCACTTATGACTTTTGATCGATGTTGTAATCAGCGGACGATCCCTTTCTTTACACTGTATGTGTGGTGGGAGTTGAAATTGAGGTATTGTCTGTTATAGACTTGGGGTATATGGATGTCTTGACCCCATACTCTGTTCAGTGCATCCAGGAAGGCGTGTTTGTTGTTTTCTCTCTCCCTTGTGAACTGTAATGATGGTCCTATTGAACTCACATGGTAGACTAGAAGCTGGACTTTTTCCTGGTATGGCCACAGTATGAAGGTGTCATCTATGTATCTCAGCCATAGGTTTGGTTATAGTAATGTAGTTTTTAATGGCATTTCCTCAAAGTATTCTATACATAGGTTTGCCATTGTTGGTGATAATGGCGAGCCCATTACTAAGCTCTCATCATGATATGTTTGATGTCATTCCAGAGTGTGTTGTTTGCGTACAGAAAGTCAGCATCTCCATCAGGTTAACTATTGTCATACTGGTCAGTTCTCCTAGGGTTAAATGCGAGGCCAGTGAGTACATCCTCCGTGGGTACCTTGGTGAACAAACTCACCACGTCCAAGGCTCACCATCTTAAATAATATGCAATAGTGCAATCAATTTAGGAGCATATTATATCTTGCCCCCTGCCGAGTACAGTACCAAAGTTCATTAAAATTAGGCAAGAGATTCTATAGCTATGATTGATAAAAATATATATATATCGAAAAAATACTAAATTACAAAGAGAAAAACTCTCTTTGTAATTTAGTATTTTTTCGATATATATATATATTTATGAATCCAGATATATAAAGAAACACTTGCCTTTTATACTCCAGTTATTATAATTGTGAAAAATATTATCCATAATATATTATAACAACATTGTTAAATAACTTTAAATACATGTCACGCAAAATATATTTATACAATTCAGTACACTACTTCAGAAGGTTTTTATCAGCAAATATCTCGGATAATAGCAAATTACTTCCTCGGTGAAGAAGCTTTGTCATTGTGGGTGTGTCATTATAAAACAATCTGGATGGCTGAAAAATTGTGTCATTTACTTGATGATAAATGAATAAACAGATGTACAGTCGTTTACAGCCGTTATGTATTTTGAAATCAGTGTGAGGAAGGGACAAATATACATAATAAAAAAAAATATAATTATTATTTTGGGAAAATTACCTAATTTTTTTTTTTTTTTTTTTTTAAGCATTACGCCCCGAGCAAGGCGTGAAGCCACTAGGATGCAGGGGGTTGCAGAAGATTTGGAGCGAGAGCAGATAGGAGTGATAGAAGAAAGGATGAGGAGAGGGATAGTGGATAGATCACGGTAACTGGATATGTCGATTGACATTACATTTGAATAGTTGGAGATTATAGCTCTCAGGGAAACAGTAATAGGGAAGGGTGTTCCACAGGCGAGAGGTGCGAGGTATGAAGCTATTGGAGTAGAAGAGACGGCTACATTTAAAAGTTTCTACAGTGTAAGGGTGGGAGCGGGATGCCAGCCTCGTATGGCGCTTGAATTCATGGAGTCTGGAAACCAGCGAAAGCAGCTCATCGGAGCAATTACCATGAAAGTATTTGTAGAAGAGACAGAGAGAGGCGACGGCGCGTCTGTGAGAGAGTGACTGTAGACGAGATGCCAGATCAGGGCCAATTATATTACATAACCGTCTCTGGATCTTGTCAAGAACTCCGAGTTAATGAAACTAAGTGCACAAAAAGGAGGCATTTATATTTTATGTTATTTCAGTAAATATGAATCTCCCTAAGCAGACGATTGATGTTTCTTTGTTGTTTTTTTAATGACCTTCACTTTTGAAAATTAAATATATATTAATGCTAAAATCAGGATACATTACTTGAATGGAATTGTCTTTAGTGTAATATCAGTTTTCAATTCCATTCTAAAAAAAAAGTAAGCTTTTTTCTGCGGGGCAATGTTTGCATTAAAGGGATGTTTCAAATTAACGCTAGTTTATAGTGCTGGAACAATATGAGAGGCCTACGTTAGGTCCTCACTCGGAAATAACATTAAAGTTTACATTTCCTTTGTATCTTTATTTAATAAAATAAACTTGTGACGAACAGCAACAGGATTAATTTTAAAATTGCACTGAAAAATTACAAGAAATTAAAAAAAAAAGATATTAAGTTTAGATTTTCTTCTCTCGAATCGAAAAGAAAATAATGTAGTTTATTAAATTATGCATGCACCAATACTCAAAAATAAAAAAATAGAAAAAAATAAAAGTTTTATTGAATTGTTTTTTTTGGCAACATTCGAGCCGAATTTTCCTTATTTTGACACACGATATTGCATAAATGTTTTACTGAAATATGTTCAGGGATTTCTTTTTATATAACTAAAAAAAAATTGGACAAAAAAACAAAAAACAGAACGTATACACGCGATATCGAAAAGTGGGTGTGAAAAATATCACCAAATATATTCCCCCAAGGATTTTTAAGTAAAATAATCATTCTTTGAAATTAATGAATTAATAGGTCCTGAAAATTCTGTTAGAATTGGTTAATTTCTTGATTTTTGGCAAATATTTTAAAACCGGGTACTTTAATGGACATTTAAATTTGTAAATAATATTTTCCCTATTTAATTTAGTTCTAAGAGGTGAATTATTATTTTTAACTATAACGTTAGAGGTTTTAAAGTTTTTTCTAATAAATAACTATTTCTTTTGCTATTGTCAAAAGGTGTTATGCATTTTTTATAACGTTCTTAATTTTGCATTCATCTTGTTAATAATTTTCGTTCATCTGATTTTTATAAAAAAAATATTAATGTTATTGTTTACGTTTCTATTCTCGCAGTATAGCGGAGATGTATAGCCGAAAAGCCCTCAGATAAAAAGAACATTCGGGCAGTTTTTAAATAATTTATCATCCGAAAAGAAAAAAAAAAAAATATATATATATATATATATATATATATATATATATATATATATATATATATGTGTGTGTGTGTGTGTGTGTGTGTGTGTGTGTGTGTGTGTGAGTGAAAATATATAGAAAATAGGAAAGAACTGGTTAGGTAAATAATCCAAAGTCCCTTAGTATTTTAGTTATTATTTTTAAAAAATAGTGCTCGATACAAAAGTAGAGCATAAATATAATTATTTATTTAAAAATATGTAATTATTTGAATTAAATTGAGTTAAAGTAAGCTCTGTTCCATCTTAAAGCGAAATTCAATTTAATTCAAATAATTATATTTAAGTATTCGGCTCTTGTTTTGAAACATGAGACCTCTTATATCGCGAGTTGGAATCATATTTTTAAATAAATAATTATATATATATACACAAATATATATTTTGTTTGCACTATAAATTCAATAAAATAAATATTTATTTGCTAATACCTCCTTATTTAGTTTATATTCACACTTCTATCTATCTATCTATCTATCTATCTATGCATATATATATATATATATATATATATATATATATATATGTGTGTGTGTGTGTGTGTGTGTGTGTGTGTGTGTGTGTGTGGACGTGGCCGTTCGCTTTTTGGCCAGGAGACCCGGGTTCGAATCTAGGCTGATTTGTCAGGGAGGACAATTCTTGACGTTATCGGTATGGATAGGGGGGGGGTGACCCAGCATGCGTTACCTTTTGAAAGTGCATGAAAACCATACTATGAGTTGATCTAAACCTTCTGACGGAACACTTGGGGGCCATCGATAGCACGAAGTCACAAGTCATCGTGACCGAGGCTTTGAATGTGGTGTTGTTCAGATTGTTGATTATGCTACAACACACTCTCACCCAGAAACTGTAATAAGGTTTTGCTGAGCATAGTTGGCTCGGTAGGTGTTGAACAAACACAAATGTGCCTGAGCAAGGGTCTGCAATAGGGGTTGGCTACCCACCCTAGTAGACGTGCATCATATACATATATATATATATATATATATATATATATATACAAGATTTGAGTTTCAGCATTATATATATATATATATATAATACTGAAACCCAAATCTTGTATTTATGTATGTTAACGAGATACAGCTTAAACGATATCAAAATAAAATATACCAACTGGTTGGGGACCATGTTATACATTGAAAAGCTGCTGAATGTAGTGCCAAATTTCATTCAAATTAATCAGATGGGGATCGTCTTTCTGTTTTCGAATTTTTTAATAGGAAATTCAGGATTTTTTCTATACACATTCCGCGTATCAATCAATGAAACATAATAAACCTTCATAATAGATTATAACAACATTATTAAGTTTAATTATGGATTCTAACAACATTATTAAATGAATTTAAATGTGCATAACACAACATGTTTATACAATCCACTACACTATAATAGAACTTCTTTATTATAAATAGCTACTTGAAAGGTGAAGACGCTATATATGTCACATGATTTAATAGTAAACACACGCCACGTACAACAAGATCCCCAAATGATCCTCCGCAGGTTTTGAATTCAGAGTTGTCCTTCTTCTAGACCAGTTGCCATCCAATGCTATAGAACCTAGTCTGCCCTGCCATTTACCCATAGCTAGAGGGAGAATTATATATATATATATATAATATATTATATATATATATATATATATATATATATATATATAATAAATTTGGGTATGTAATCCCGACAGAGTTATAAGTTATGATTTTCACTGACAATAATTGGCCCACTAATTCTGTGACCCCATATTCTGGCCCCGACCATCGACATACCAGCATCTTTGTCGGACTCAGCCAGTTGGAGTTCTCACTGCTCCAATAATATAGGTTTTGCCGATTAACCTCTCAAATGACGTCAAAATTTGCTTCATCGGTAAACAAAATGTTACTTGAAAAGTTTAGATCTTTGTTCACTTTGGTTATTGTGTATAAACAGAATTACATTCATATGGAAACTAATGGCCCACCCTGTATGTATATAGTTTTTTAAAGCATTCAACCCCAAGCAGAGCGGGAAGCCACTAGCACGCAAGGAGTTACAAAGAGTTGGAGCGAGAGCAAAGAGGAGTGATAGAGGAAAGGATGAAGAGAAGGATTAGGGGATAGATCAGGGCATCTGGAGATGTCGATTGACATTACATTTGAATAGTTGGAGATTATAGCTATCAGGGAAAGAGGAAGAGGGGAGGGAGTTCCACAGGCGAGAGGTGCGACTCATGAAGCTATTGGAGTAGAAGAGACGGCTACATTTAACAGTTTCGACAGTGAAAGGGTGAGAGCGAGATGCCAGCCTAGTAGAACGCTTAAATTCATGAAGTCTGGGAAGCAGCGAAAGCAGCTCATCGGAGCAGTTACCGTGAAAGTATTTGTAAAAAAGACAGAGGGAGGCAACGGCACGTCTGTGAGAGAGCGACTGCAGACGAGATGCCAGATTAGGGCCAATTATATTGCATATCCGTCTCTGGATTTTATCAAGGACCTTGAGACAATTAGAAGGGGTTCCGGACCATATATGACAGCAATACTCAATGCAAGGAATGATATATATATATATATATATATATATATATATATATATATATATATATATTGGACTTCCCCTTCGTTTTCGACGTATGAGGGTCAAACAACTCAGTTCGTAGGAACCGACAGCCTGAAACCAGTACATATTTTATTATACTGGATTCGATGGGAATTCGAACTCGGCTCTCCGATTCCCCAATCCCAGCCGTTATTCACTAATCCTCCGGGCCATCCAGTCGAATCCATTGCATTCACTTACATGCTAATACGGTATGAATCCTCTTCTCCCCCCACCAAAATCATAACTTATAACTCTGTCGGGATTACATACCCAAATTTATTATATATATATATATATATATAAAAGTGAACATAAGTCAACACTTAGTGGCGACAGTCTGTTTCATTATATGCAATCGTACGATTGCATATAGCATGAAACAGACTGTCGCCTACGATTATATATATATATATATATATATATATATATATATATATATATATATATATATATATATATATAAACACTTAGAGGCGACAGTCTGTTTCATGCTATATGCAATCGTACGATTGCATATAGCATGAAACAGACTGTCGCCTCTAAGTGTTGACTTCTATATTCACTTTTATATATTTACACGCTCTATCTCTGATATTGAGCACTTTATTCCATAAATATAGCATACCTTAAGACTATATTTCTTTATATATATATATATATATATATATATATATATATATATATATATATATATATATATGTATGTATGTATAACCATAAATTCAAAACCCGCAGAGCGTCATTTGGGGACATGGTGGCACGCATAA